TCTCAATGCCTTCCCCGGCAAACTCAGAAGTAAGCCAACTACTAGATATAAAGAAAGGAATTCAACACTCAGAATTATACTCCCAACTAGCAGACTGAAAACACCGATAAAAGAAATGGAACAGTGCCCCGCTAACCTTACTCTCAAACTAACAACCCTTATTGGATTTCTGACCTTAGATGCGCTGGACCGTGCCCATATTCTACTTATATGACGTTTGATTCCATGTTCTACTGCCTATTCTAAGTACTAATATACGCTTATAACTAACTATACCTATGAGTTGACTTCTGACTTATGTACTATGGTCCCTTACGACTAAAACAAGTGTTGCCAAGAGCCATTCCTCGATCTCAGGTGAACTATCCTTCTTTCTTGAACCACTGCATTGGATCCTGTCCTAGTGCTTCTGAGACTCTAATCTAGAATAAGGAAATAAACTAGGCCTGCTACCACTGATTAACAAACCTGTCCTTCCTGATCTCAAATCTCACTTTACTGGCTCCAAGGCTACCTCTCCTACAGACAATACTTTCAATCAGAACCCAAGCTTGAATTACTAATGGAATAATGAAACAAGGAACTTTGAATTGCACTTCTGTTAGTAACGGAATTGAACTCATCGATACCAGGCTAATGGTAGACATAGAGAATTTAGGGCTACAAGAGGAGGTTGGAAATGTGCAATAAAGGATGGTCGCTAAGTGGGCTAGCAGGTAGTTCGAATTACCCTCTTAACTAGGAATAAGAATAAGGATCGGGTGACCGGAGGAATCCGACCTAGATGGAGTAGTGTCAGTTTGCAAGTAAGAGTGCTGCTAGCGAGTTCAAGTTGGAACTAATGCCTAATAAGAGGGATGTTTCTTTTACTTAAGACCGGAGCAAAGAGCCCCGTCGTTCAAAGAAAAAGTGTTCCTGGGGGTTTGGACTGGTTTTGAACCCAATTACTCTGAGCAAACTACTAAGAAATATCATATCAATCTTATATGAGAAAACTCATTCCACTAAATAATATAAGTAAATAAGCACCAACAATAAAAGAATAAGAGAAAGGACAGTCAGAATGATAGGACCGGGGAGCTTCCACTTATGTCTCTAAACCAGCCTCTCTTTACTCCCTGGGCTTGGCATACTAATCTACTTATTGCCTGGCGCGTAACGGAACAAGAAAATCATTAATAAGGCTTGAACGACAGATCCATAGTGGGAAGCTTTAACGCCATCTTTTGAGTTAGAGTAAGTAGTGAAGCCGAACACGAATCCTACTCTTAAAGAATTGATTTGTTGGAGCTGGATCTTAAGTAGGGGCTGCTGGGTATTTACAAGACTCTATTACAGGTGCAAGAGATATATATGACATTTCCATTCTATTAAGATGGATTGCAATAGAAGTCCTTCTCTATTTAGTCTATGATTGTGTAGCCCTCGTTCTCATTCCTTTCTTTACCGGTAAAACCTGCAAGCCAATCAATAAGAAATAGGGAAGGTGTAACAACTTGATGTACAGTCTGCTAGTCGGAAGCCATAACTCAGCTTGTCCTATCTTCTTCATCGCCCAGCGGAGCTACTCCTTTTTTGACATTAGTGTGATTTTAGAGATTGTCAAGAGATTTAGCCCGCCCGTTCCACTTCTGTGCCAAGAAAGAAAAGTCTGTGTGTGTGAACCTAAGGCGAGTCCGCTCTTGTGGAGATGTGAAATGAAAAGATGAGCTTTCTTCTTGCTTGGGGGAAAGTAGAGTCTATAGCTTTCCGCATTCCAAATAAGTATACCTTTATTCTGGACCCAACAACAAGGGACTAAGCGCTAGGCCTTTCTGCTGTATGATTCTCTGACAATGTGAATTCTTCGATTAGGGGTAATCCATTCTTATGCAAAAGAGAAGTCTTACAACACTTGATCATTACATTATAAGTAAAGATCTGCTTTTGTCTTGATTGTTCCAAGCAATTACCTTTTACTGCTGACTCACTGCTTCCTATAAGAACTAAAGCTTCTTCCATTTGACTACCAGCCATACTTTACCAAACCTTTGGGGCATAAAAAAAGGGTGGTTTTCCTTTTCCAACTCTTGGGCTATTCTATTCTTCCCCCTCCTATGGATCCTGATAACTCACCTGATCCATTGCAGTACTACTTACATTACCCCGATGACATTTCTCTATTGGTAAAGAAGAGAGACTATTAATGAGAATGGGATTGATAGCAAATGGTTCTTAGAACCGTTAGCACACACAAGGGCGTTAGGGAGTTCATTTCTTCCTATTCCTAACCTATTTTGTGAACTGACTCACTTCCTCTCTTCCCCTTTTTAGCCAACACCAGAAACCTTGGGCAAAGCTACAAATATAAAGAATAGAAGGAGATAAGAAAGATACGCGGACGACTTACTTTACCATAAGATAAGGTCTGATGTTTCCGTGAGCAGTAAGCTGCGGATCTCTCCTTTTTTTGGGGAAAGCTGGTGGCCCTTTCTTGCGTGTGAATTCTTTGGACGGTTCG